GAATACAGCCCCATTTCTGGAGCATTAATGACATGCGAGGTGCCATTCTGAGCCCTCTGTAAATGAGCACAGATGGAATGCCCATGGCCCGCCTGGCAGCACATACTATTTTATCCCCATTTAACAGAAGAGGAAACTGAGGCAAAGAAAGGCTTATCAAATTATCCAAGGTCATAAGGCTAACAGTGGCTGGTGGGCCAGGTGTCCTGAAGCCAAGATGAAGGAGTACACAAAGGCCATAGGGCCCCAGAAGGATGCCCGGCCCAGCCTGGAAGGTTGGCAGGCTTTGATCCCAGAGCCTGAAAGGGGAATTGACACTCTGCTCCAGTGTCATCTTCTCTGGGAGGCCCCATCCCCGACCACCCCACCTAAAATAGCAATCCCTCCCCTCCAACTCCCCCCCAACTGCCTTTGCCCTGCTTTATTTCCCACATAGTACAGAGCATCATCTGACAAAAGTTTACCAGGCTACAGAAATGGACAGAGGCCAATCAGGAAGGGCCTAGTAAGGTGGGACATAGAGTTTAGACGTTCTCCTTGGGTCCCCAGGAAGAGTAGGGAAAATAATAGGAAGACAGCTCCACAACACACACACACACACACACCCATACCCCAAATAAGGATCTTGGCAGTCATCCAGAGGGGCAGCCTTCCATCCGAGTGAGCCTCGAATCCAGAGCCTGGTCCTCTGGGTGAGGGCGTGGCTGAGCCATAGTGACAATAAGGTGAGGGCAAAGGGACCCCACCCGCGGGGTGCCCACGGTCCTGCAGGAAACACAGACAGGTGGATTCACAGGTACCATGGCCTTTGGTAGGCAGGGAGGCTCATCCACAAGTGATGCCAGACCAAGGCCTGCCTCCACACCTCTGCTTATGCTGTCCCCGCCTTCTGGAATGCCACCCACCCATCTAACAAATATTTATTAAGCTCCTGTTGTACACGAGGCATTGGGAAAACAGGGCCAATCCAAGGCAGATAGGGTTCCTGCCTTCACAGAGCCCTGGAATGCCTAGGAAACTCCTGTTCATTCCTCAAAACCCTATTCTGATACCCTCTCTTCAGTATGAAGCCTCCCTGGACTCCCCTCAAGTAGTAAGTCGCTTATTTTCCAGTGCTATTCTAGCATCCATTGACTTTAGTTGTAGAAGAAAGAGAAAGGGAACAACCAGCCACTGAAAATTCGCTGTGTACCAGACCCCATGCTGGGTACTTCACTGGCAATATCCTGCTTCAGGCTCTCAGTGAGCCTGCCAGGGAAGAGATGGGCCCCCTTTTCCCAGATGAGAAAATGGGCTCAGAGAGGTTTAGTCTCTGGCCTAGGGTCACACCGTCAGCTGGTGAGTGAGAAAGCAGGGACAGAGAGCCCAAACGGTCACACTACGGGGTCCATGCCGTGAACACCCTGAAGACAGGGGTGGGCCTTGTGGGCATCACACGCTGTCCGCAGGCCCCAGCACGGGCAGGGTGCCCAGTGGGGGTTCCAGGTGTGGAGGGAGTGGGCGAAAGCCGCCCCGGAGCCCGACTGGGGCTGCGTTGCCGTCCTCGGGGCCTAGGTGGCGATGTGCACCCTCCGTCTCCCCAGCCCCTGCAGGCATCCACCTTCAGCTCCCGGATCCCTGGTCTGGAGAGGCCACGGGCTCCTTGCCCCAGCTACCTCTGCCTGGCAGCCTCCGCTGACTGGGGTCCCCCCTCGCTGAGGGACATGACCACAGTAGGCCTCAGGATGGGCCAAATCTCCTTCCCGCCAAAATGTTTGGAGTCGAGAGAGGGACTCACTCACTCATTGCCATGGTCAGACCCAGGAAGCCTGCTGGCTCGGATGCCAGGGCGGGGGGGGGGGGGGGGGGGCGGGGAGGGCGGGGGGGGGGCGGGGAGGGCGGGGGGGACTGCCAGGGACCCTTCCTGCTGGGCGTCCCCTTCCCTGTTGCTCCAGGGGGGGTCCTCCCCACACCCTGCAAGGCCGAGAAGACATCCACGGAACTCCAGAGGAAATGACAACCCATCTCAGTCACTCTGCAGGGTCCCACCGAGGCAGGGAGCAAGAGGATAAGGACACGACCTTGTCCAAAGCGCTCAGGAGTTGGGCCAGAGCTGGGGTAGAACCTAGATTTCTTGATTTGTATTCTCAGCCTTCTCCAGCGTGGTCTGAAGCCGTTCTTCCAGGGCCCCGGGGCGACTGGAGAAAAATGCAGTCCGACCAGTTATCTGCTGTACTACTAATAAAAATAACAACAACTCCCGTTTCTGCCTGGATTTCAGCCTTTTACCTACATTCCCTCGCTTGTCCTCGGGCCCAGGCCCACCAGGGGAGATGGGTGCCACCACCCTCCATTTCACTGATGCCTGCAGAGGAGAGGCTTGTGCGGGTCCCAGCTCCCTGGCCTGGGGTCCCACCCACGGGAGGGATGAGGGTGGTGGAGAGGCAAGGGAGGGCAGGGAGGAGGGTTGGGCTTTAGGGAGGGGGGAGGCGGGCCAACTTGTGAAGTATAGATGGGGGACGCTCTGAGTGCTCCCCCTACCAGACTGTTCTACACAGCACCCCCCCCCAAAACTGAATCTCTTTCAAATCAGCCAGGCTCTGCCAGGACCAGACCACCTCTCTTTACTCCCTCCCCTCCACAGCTGCAGCCCCCAGAGAGCCATCTGGGCCTCCACTGACCATCAGATCTGGTTTACTCTGCCTGCCTTTAGGCAAGCCCCTTCCCCCATCTTGGACTCAGTTTCCCCATCTTTGAGTTTGGCTTTTCAGTTCTCATGAGAGCGACACAAGGGAACGGGAATGGCTGTGTGGGGGGCATCTGCCGGGTCCCAGGCAACAGGCGCTGGCTTCTTCACTGGTGGCACGGGGAGGCCAAAAGCTCATGTTGCCCAGGAGTTTCTGGACCAAAAGACACTGTGTCCCCACCTTCCTGTGCCTCAGTTGCCTTATGGTCTAGTCAGGACGATAAACCCGCTTCATAGGGTTGTAAGGAGAGCCCAGTGTGATGACGCATAGCATGTGCTTCGGTCAGCACCCGCCAGAGAAGCCCTCAAAGGTTTCCGTCACCATCATCGTCACCATCATCACGACCATCCATCCTCTCCTTCTGGGCTGGTCCAGCCGCTGGAGACATCAGCCTGCCAAGAAAACCCTGACCCAGCCCCAGAAAAGCCTGGGCTCTACTCCCAGCTCTGCCATTAACCTGTGAGTCCCCCAAGCCTCAGCGTCTTCACCTGAAAAATGGGCTGAATAAGATCCGTGTAGAAAGCGTGATGGACATACAGCAAGATCACGCACGGAAAGGCTCCGAGCACAGGGCACGGCCAGTGGAAAGGGCCTGGTACACACTTGCTTCCTTCCTCCTTTATGGGATCAAAGTACAACTTTAAGACAGAGCCGAGCAAGTCCACGATAACGCCACAGCTCATATTTAATGAGCACTTACCGTGTGCCTGACACCAGCCTAAGGGCTTTGTTTATTTAATGTTACTTCACCCTCCTAAACAACCGTGTGAGGTGGACAGAAACGTTACACCCATTTTACAGGGAGAAACTTAGCCATGCAGGAGCAAAATGCCATTTTCTAGAAGCCTCCAGTGCTGCTGAAAGCCCACCAAGAGTAAGCGCTCACGTTTATTGAGCAGCTTCTGTGCGCAGGTCAGTGTCCTCCTTCCCTGTGCTGCCTCCTCCAATGGTCCCAGCAATGCTACAGGATAGCAACTGTCATTGTTCCTACTTCATAGGTGACAAACTCAGACACACAGTGGTGAAGCCATTCCTCCACTGAGAAAATGACTGAGTCAGGACTCGAACCCAGGTCTGCGTAACTCTTCTACCTGCTTCCCTGAATTACTGCACCAGAGCCCACCTGGAGTCTGGCCCTCCCATGAGGCCTCAGTGGCACCCAGGGGAGCAGGCCAGACATCCGTGGCTCCAGGAGGCTATGGGGAGGGGAATCCTCATGTTTAGTACCCTCAAGGAGCTGGGGAAGCGGGGGGTGTCCCAGGTGGGGTAAAGCTACACTCTCTTAGGAGGGCACACAGTTTTTCTCCCCCGGCCCCACCAGTGTTCCAGACAGGCTGGGAACAGGTGCACAGATCCCGGGCCCTGGGCTAGGTGAGGGGGGGCCTCGTTTGGCAGCCAGAGCCCTGCGTGAACGAGAAGAAACCCAGCCTGCAGCCCCTTGGGGCTGGCAGGAGATTAACAAAACAAATACCCGAGCAATCTCAATTTCAACACTTGGGGAGGGGGGCCGAGTGTCAGGGCCCAGGGGGAGGGAGGGAAACGCAGAGACATTTTACCACCTAAATAACTTTCCCTCTGTTTAGTTTCACACGAATGTACACTCAAGTGCGCGCTCGTGCTCTCTCTCTGCCTCTTTTTACATTTTTATTTTATTTTTACAAATGCTCAAACTTTCCTGCCACAAATTATTCTTGGCCATGTTACAAGTAGAAAGGCCGTGTGTATCCTTTACTTGACAAAAAGAGAGGGGGAAGGGGGAGGGGGCTCTTATGAAATATTTTGGTTGTGGATTTGAGGTGGGATTTCTTCCTTACTTTTCCCGAGGGTGCCTTTGCCTGGGAGGGGAGGAGTGTTCGCCTCCTGGGCATAAGCAGTCTCCACGCTGGTCTCGATCCTTCCACTGCCACTCCAGCTGCCCTAACGGGATCTTGAGGCTCTGGTTTCACCAGTACGGTTTGGAATGGCATTCGGGAAGGGCAGATTGGAGCTGACCCCAGGGGCATCTCACCTCACCCAGGCCCTGCTGTTTCCCGAGCTAGAGAGTCCTGTCTGGAGGCCTGGGGGCTGGGGAGAGGTCCCCAAATCCCCAGATGGACTTGTCCTGCTCTACCCGGGACCCAAGAAAGGTGCTGGCCCTGGGCCCTCCCCGTCACTGCAGAGCCATCCAGCTCACCTCCATCCTCCTCATGCTGCAGTCTCCCCACTCCTGCAGATTTGGCTCCCCCCGCCCCCCCAGTCTCACCTCACCCCTCTGCCCGCCCTGCAGCACTTCGCTCCAGCCACGTCATTTCTCAAACACACTGAGCTTTTCCCACCTCAGGGCCTTGGCCAGTGCTCTTCCCTCTTCCCAGAACTCCCGCCCCTCTGCTCTCTGGGCTCAGCTGGATGGCCACCTCCTCCGAAAGGCTTTCCTGACAAGCAGGGACCTTGTCATTTGCCGTTTCAGCCCCCTGTTGGTTTTCTTCATAGCAGGCAGTTGATTCGAGGTTTCTTTGTCCATGTTCTTGTTTTTCGCTGGTCCTCCCCCACGGCGTGAATAAACAGCCGAGGGAGGGAGGGAATGAGCAAATGAATAACTGAATGAATCAGTGAGGTCCTGAAGGCTGGACCAATAGTCCGTTCCTTCCATTGACCCCATTAACCCCTGCTTGTCCAAGGCTGTCCTTTGTGAGGGCTGCTTTTCCCCAGGCTGGTTTAGAAGGTGCTGGTCTAAAGGCACCCGGGGTCCACCAGTCCGGTGGGGGTCTCCCACTAGGGTCCCGGCCCTCTAGGGACACCCACCTGCATTGCCAAAAACATTTCCCAGCCACTTATCATAAAAGCCAAATCACACACCCACGACCACGTGACTGAGTGCCCACTTCGGTGCCCGGGGCCTCAGGGTCAGGCCACGCTGACTCGGTCAGACAGAATTTATGAGAATTGTGCAGGTTCCATAGAGGGTGTGATGAACTTCTCAATGTTCACAACGCCCACACTCTCGGAGGTGCTGTGGGGACAGAGATTCTGATACCCCTCTGACAGATGAGGAAACCGGGGCTCAGGGAGGTGACCCACGGTGCACAGAGCAGCCTCGTCTTTGCCTCTCTGCACGGTTGCTGGGCCTGTCACCCTTCCCCAGCTATGCAGGCCAGACTCTTGGGAGCCGGCGGCCTCTGTGCCTCCCTCCCCCTCAAATCCACATCCAAACAGCCCAAGTCCTGTGGGGCCTGCCTCCCAGCGTGCCCCGCCTCTCCCCTCCCACTGGTCCTCCCGGGATTACCGTTATCAGCCTGAACTTGTCCAGCCGCAGAACAGCAAGCAAGACCGTGGCCCCCGAGGCCGCCTTGGGAATTGTGTCATCTTGTTAGCGATGAGTGAGTTTATGGAGCTCTGCGGTGTATCATTATGCTCTCATTTTATTGATTAGCAGCTTGAGGTTGGAACTTTCTTATCCCTTAATGGAAACCCTGCTGCTCCTCTCCACCAATTACAGTAGAAATTAATGGCTACTTACATACAATTGAGCTCATGAGCAATCGTGGGGGCCAATGACGTGTGAACCATGAGGCATAAAACCGTATCTCTTCAGACGGGGTGTCCAGCCAGCCTCCTGGCCAGCACCCCCTTGCCCTTGTTGAGGCCTTCAGAGGGCTGCCTGGTTGTGTGGGAGGAGGGGAGTCTCTTGTCCTTGCTTGAATGGATTCGTCCCCGGTTGGGTAGGACGGAGATTAGTGGAGTGGGTGGGCTGTGGGGACAGGGGCAAGAAGGGACACCAGGCAGGCGAGCAGAGGCCCCCAGACAGTGGGAACCGTGCAGGGAGGGGGCAGGAGATAGGGGTGGGGGCCGAGGAGGGGAAGAGTATCTTGGCGAAACACCCTCTCAGCCTTGGGAGTCGTGGGTACCGCATCCCTCCCATGCACCAGGCACCTGCTGAGCACCAGGGCGACAGCGTGGAACAGAACAGGCAAGAATATCTGTCCCCAGGAAGCCTCTAATTCTCATGGGCAGTGATGGACAACAGGTGAACATACAATAACTGTGGGGTATGGGGTCAGGAACAGACCGATCCATGGGACAGAAGGAAGAGAAGCCAAACCTCAAGAAGAGACGTGTAGGCCCAAAGGGGAAATATTTTCATGATCTTGGGTAGGGAAACCCTTCCTCAGCAAGTCACAAAAACCTGAAACCAGAAAAGAAGAAACCGATGAATTTAAAGATATGTGAACATTAAGCCTTGAAGAATAAGAAGGCCTGGACAGAAGGGGCCGTGGGTGTGGAGGGGTGAGAGCGATGTCCACCAGGCTCTCAGTCAGGGGGCGCCCCTGGACTGGGGTTGGACAGACAGGGGCCCCTGGACACAGCCACACTCCCTCGTCCCCGTGCCCCCTCCGTCCCTGCCCTGCCGCTCCCGGCTCCCCAGGATTGCCTGCCCTGCCCCTGCCCAGCCCTGAAAGACATACTAGGGGCAGGAATTGAGGTCTCCCAGCCCTGTGCTCAGCCCCACCGCCCATCACAGGACTCTGGGCTCTGGCCACCACGGTCCCCCACTGAGAGGGCAGGTGGAACAGGTCACTTGGGCCCCGAGGAAGGCACCTGTCCCGGCTCTGCCCCAGGTCTGCCCAGGGCTTCCCTCACAGTGCTAAGGACGCCCCCCTCTCCCTGGCTGCCTTCCTCGACCCCCCACTCCCACCTGGACATCCTGAGGGCTGCCCCACACCGGCCCCAGAGCCCCCAGCCTCCTCGCAGATGTGCCGGGCATCATCCCTCTAGTGTACTTCCAGGATCTGCCAAAAGGCCCTCCCCAGCCCAAGAGCTCACTCGCCTACGGTCACACAGCCAGGGGGTACAGTCAGGATTCGAACCCAGCTCCGGCTGGCTCTACCCTCCTTGTTCCCTCTGCACCTGCCCACCGGTGACCAGCTTGCAGGCCATGCCCAGATCCTGCCTGAAAGCTGGACTTCTTCACCTCTTAGAACCAGACATAAGTTGAAATTGTGGGGGCGGGGGGGGGTGCCCAGGTCCTTAAAACATCTAGAGCAGGGTCTGGGCATATCAGGCAGGGAGAAAGGAAGGAGAAGCCTGTGGGCTGAGGCAGAAAGAGAAGGACAGAGAAACAGGAGAGCTGACCTAGAGGAGCGGAGGCAGAACCATGGGCAGGGAGGTGAGTGTGGGCCCAGAGCCCCAGCAGCGTGCCCTGGACCCTGCCACACAGGACAGGAAGCCCTCACCGCGCCTATGGCACAGGGAGCCCGGGCATTCGGGGACATGGACAGCGCAGCAGGGGCCAGACAGGCCATGTGGGAGAAAGAAGCTTCCTGCATCCCAGGGTTACCAAACCCTGCTGGCCCAGGCCGGCCTGGAGCTCCCCCCGGGCCAGGCCTCCCGCTGCAGCCCCCAGGTGTGGAGGAGGGAGTCTCTCCAGGGAAGCAAGGAGATCAAAAAGAGGAGCAGTGGCTAAATCACCAGCCTGTGCCTCCCTCCCTCTCTCCACGCACCAGGAAGCCTTCCCATAGCAGCTTCGACCTGGTTCAAGGACTCCCGGGAGGTCCCAGCCCAGGGCCGCTCCTTCCAGCTGGGGCCCAGCCCCTCTGCCGGGCTCAGGCTCTCTCCCACACAGGTCTGACCTGCCCTTCCCACCCTGCCAACCCCGCGTGCACACACCGCCATGGCCAGGCCATGCACACACACCAGAGCAGGGGGCTACACACCTGCTCTCACCCTCCCTGCCCAAATGATGGCCATCTCAGAGGGTAGTGCACTTGGGGCCTGCACTACGCGGATCATCCCCCCACCACTTGTCCCTAGAAGCTGACATTCTCCTAGGGCAACTGGATTGGAATGAACACCCAGGACACTGCTGAAGGGAGAAGGGGGAAATGACACGAGGGGACACCAGCCAGTCTTCACTCTCCCAGGCAGAGCTTCCTGACTTCTACTCACCTGTAGCTTCCTGGGCAGTAGCAGCCGGAAGCCATGCGGGGAACACAGCTTGACCATGTCTGTGTGTTCTTGGGCAACTCACCAAACCTCTCTGAGCCTCAGATTCCTCATCGATAACTGTAGAGGAGCCAGGCATATCCGAAATGCCACTCTTCTAAACCTTACCCAGAGGAAGGAAGTGAACCTTTCAAAAGGGCTCTCCCCACATCTCAGGGTTGATCAGAACCGTAACAACGGGGACCCTGTACCGTCTCATTCGGGGCCCACAGCTGCCCTCCGAGGGAGGGACTGTTAGCATTTCTACTTTGCAGATGAGATGGCACCACTCAGAGTGGTTGAGGTTGACCTCGGTTGTCCGAGATCACACCAAGATGTAACCCCAGGTCTGTCTGACACGAACACCCACGTGCCCTCAATCGACCTCCAGAAGTGCTCCTGCGGCTCACTCCTGCCCGCCTTCACCTTACCCCTCATGCTTCCCCTGGGGCACAGCGTGTGACTGGGGCTCCATTGCGTAAGTCCTCTGGCCACATCAGGGTGTGCGCGCTCATGGACACACCCGAGCAAATGCGCGTAAGCCTGGCTCCAGATGCTCTCCAAACTCTAATGGCTCTGACATTTGTCCCTCCAGCTCCAGGTGTGGGCTGTCAAATCCCTTGAGGTCTAATAATTATGTCGAACTCCACATCTCTGAAATGGAGTTTCCCTGACTACACACCCCTACCGCCCTGCTGCTCACCCCTCGCCAAGGCACCACCACCACCTTCATGCATCAGCCTCTGCACTGGTCTCCCTGCCTCCCCCTTAGTCCCGAATGATCCTGCCTCAAGTCCTGCCATGGCCCCCCTATTACTCAGAGCAAAAGACAAAGCTCCCTACACACGATCCTATGGCCCTGTGACTTTGCTGACTCCTCTCCTCCCATTCCCTCTGCTCCAGTCATACTGGCTTCTCTCCTGTCCCTGGAATACCCTAAGCACACTCCCACCTCAGGGTCCTTGCACTTGCTACACCCGCGCCTGGGACATCATTCCTCCAGATGGCCACGGGTCTCCCTGCCTCTCACGCCTCAGGTCTCTTGCCCCTCAAACGTCCTACCAGCGAGGTCCTCATGCCCAGCCACTTAAAATAACCCTCCCAGCCCCGTGGTCCCTCTCCCCTCACCCTGTTTAACTATTTCCCTAGCACTTGTCACCACCTGGCATGTTACTAATTTGCATATTTAATATCTCTCTCATCCCAGGAGGACATGTACTCCTGTGAGATCAGGAATCTCTGCTCATCTCCTATTCATGCTCGGAGCCAAGAACAATGCCTGGCACATGGTAGACCCTCAATAAATATCTTTGCAGGCAGGAAGGAAAGGAAAGGAAAGGAAAGGAAAGGAAAGGAAAGGAAAGGAAAGGAAAGGAAAGGAAAGGAAAGGAAAGGAATAGTAGCAGAGTGGAGGCTGATGAAAGTAGGCTGGGGAGAGAAAGAGAAAAGAGGAGGAAATGGACATGCATAGGAACAGACGTGAGATAGATAAACTGCTGTGGTCAAGCATTCAGAGATGGACAGGTCAGACCACACACACACACACACACACACACACACAAATGCATCCCCAAATATACATATACATGTATATCCATCCTTACACACATGCATATCCACACAGAGCCCCTTAGCAGCACTCTGTTCTGGCCCCACACCCCTCCACCCCCTCCACCCCACCCATGCTCTACACCCCTTCCCAGGCAGGGAAAGAGGCTTCTCCAGGTGACCTCACTGAGTGGGGCATGAAACCACCAGCTCTTTTTCAAAGTCTCCCTTGTAATCTGCTCCTGGATCAGTGCTCACAAGGGCACTGGCCTCTGCCTGAGGATGGGACCCCTCACCTTCTCCCAGGAAGTCCCACCGAGTCCCCCCCTCCCAGTCCCCACTCAGCTGTGGCTCCTTCCCCTTCCCCTGACCAGTATAACCTGCTCAGCTGAATTCTTGCTGGGCATTTCCAAACAATTCCAATTATTTGGGGGGAGGAGTGAGACTGTGACTCCCAGGAGGGGCTTGCCGGGAGGGGAGGGAAAAGAGGGGGTCCCCTTCAAAATGGGGCAGCCTCTAAGTTGCTTGTTCTGCAACCAAGAGCCCCAGCCCTGCCCCACCCCCACAGCCTCGGTTCTCTGAAAACACCAGATTTCAAGCCTCCGGGCCTTTGTACTAACAGAGCCTCCCGCCTCAAGTGTACTCCCCTCACTTCCCCGCCTGGCAAACTCCTCCACATCCTTCAAGGCCTCGGTCAGGTGTCTGACACCCTCTGCCTGTCCTCATCTCTCTGTTATCCTTGTCTGTTTAGGCGCTTGCCTCTCCTGCTGGAGGGGGACTCTGAGGGCAGAAAGCACGATGATGCATCCGGACCCACTGCAGATCCCAGCGCGGGCCTGGCTCAGAGCACGGGCCCCGGACATTCGCTCTCAGGATGGGAGAAAGGGGTGGGGAGGGCCTGCAGAGGTCTGGGCCAGCTGCTAGAATCCTAGGTCACTCACTGCCTTGCTGTGACCTCGGGCAAGTCACCCACCCTCTCTGGTCTGCCCTCCTTATCAGCCCGGGCTCCCTGAGGCCGGTGAAAGGCTGAGAGGTGACCCTGACCCCAAAGGGAGAGCGTGGTGCCCGAGGGAGCTGTCCTGGCCAGGTGCGAGCCAGGTGCTGCCCTCGGGGTTAAGGGAGTGGCCAGACGGGAGCAGAAGGGAGAGAGAGGCCTGGAGCTCCTTGCTCACCGTGTCCCCCTGTTGCCAGCACCATGGCGGCAGGCGCCCGTCCCTGAGACCACTGTCGCTCTCGCGGGGACCGCCACTGTCTCGCCCGTTATTGTTCCAGCACCATTAACGCCAACATGGGCACCCACATCACCCTGCCCGCACGCCCCAGGTTCCGTTCTCCAAAGCAGAGCAGCACCCCGCTCCTCTCTGGACCCCTATCACCCAGCAGAGATCCCGGCACATTCCGGAAGCTCCGTGTTGTAGACTGAAGGGAATACCCCGAGGTTTGGTCCCATGCCCTTGAGCTGGCCTTACCAGTAGAGAAAGCTGGTACAGCACAGGGCCACCAGTGGAATGATTTCCCTCCAAGTCCCTGCGTTGTTCTCCGGGAGCTGGGGAGAACCTCCAGCCTGAATTCCTAGGACTCACAGAGCGTGTCCGAGAGCCCGAGTCACAATGAGAACTCAGAGAGTGAAGTCCCTAGCCTCAGTTTCCCTGCTGG